GTCTGTGTGTTTGTGTGTGTGTTCGTCTGTGTGTTTGTGTGTGTGTTCGTCTGTGTGTTTGTGTGTGTGTGTGTGTGTTCGTCTGTGTGTGTGTGTGTGTGTGTTCGTCTGTGTCTGTGTGGGTGTGTTCGTCTGTGTGTGTTGTGTGGGTGTGTGTTCGTGTGTGGGTGGGTGGGTGTGTGTGTATTTAATTCTTCATGAATTATGCCACTCAATCTGTGTATCTTCAACCAATGGATGCACTTGGCTGAAGTTGTCATTTTTAAAGGTGAATCGAAAACAATTTGTTGGAATACTTTTTGTTCACACTCCATTAGTGTGAAACGTATTGAACTGCACAGGTCAAATTGACCTAATGTTTATTTAGCTAGGGGATTGAATAATGCTGACTCCTAAGCAGCACTCTGTTTCTGCTCCTTGATACCTTTGGGCCTCTCCTTAGTTTACAGAATTTTATTAAAGCCCACCTCCACCACTAAATTTATACCCCCTCCTCTCATGCAGACACTGACTGTTGCCAGGGTTCAACAAAAGCAGCAAATCCTGCAGTGAATAACTCTTCCTGATTCCCCGAAGCCTGTCTACAAGCTATAAGTCAGGAGGGTGATGGAATACTCCCCATTTGCCTGGATGGGTGCAGCTCCAACAACACCGTCCAGGACAAGAACAGTCTGATTGACCAGCACCCAGTCCACTATCTGTAACATCACTCCTTCCACCTCCAGCGCTCAATAGCAGCAGTAACTGCTATCTACAAGATGCACTGCAGGCAACTCATCAAGCCTCCTCAGACAGCACCTTTTGAACCCATAGCCACTTCCATCTGGAAGGACAGGAGCAGCAGACACATGGGAACACCACCCCCTTCAAGTTCCCCTCCAAGCCACACACCGACCTGACTTGGAAATTGCTAGTCCTTCAGTATCACTGGGTAAAATTCCTGGAATTCCTGCCAGGATATTGTGGGCGTACATACATCAAATGGTCCACACTGGTCCAAAAGGCAGCTCAGCACAACCATGTCCAGGGCAGTTAGGGATGGGCAATGAATGCTGCTGTAGTGTTACTGTGGGATCTTGCTGGGATAGTGTAATTTAACATAGTGTGAGAGGGAGTCAGGGCACAGGGGTGGGTGTCCATGTGCAGCGCGGGGCAATAAGCATGGACCAGCAGCATGAAGGGGGAGAGGTGGCTTGGAAACCAGTAAACCAAAGGGGAGGGAATGTAGGAGCTGGAGGAGGCCATTCAGCCCCACTTGCCTCTTCCTCCATTCACATGTTCATTCATGTTTAACACCCAGCAACAATCCAGCCATCTCCGGTTTGAAAGTTCCATCACAGCCCCAGCTTGAGCCTCCTTCTGGGGGAGAGTTAGGGGTTGCTTCTGCTCCCTCGTTCTGAACTCTCCCCAGCAGAGGATATGGTTTCTGTTTCCCAACCCCCGACACCCACCCCCATCTATGGTTAAAGGAATTAATAGCCATTCAGGCTGGCTGTCATTGTGCCGATCGGAATTTCGACATTACCTCACTGGAAAGATGCGGGATAAGTGCCTAACCGAGTCACTTTGAGCACAGAGAATATGGGGCAGCCCCTGCATGACCTCACACTCCCTCTCACTGTGCCTCTGGCCGCAAAACCTTGAAAGCAGGCAGGACCATAAAACCATGAGGAACAAGTCCTGACTGATGGCCTCTGTGATGGTGTATGTGGCCATTGATTTATCTTCCGACTTTTCTCACTGGGCTCATCTGTCTTTGTTCTTCTTGCTTTCAGTTCCGATTGACTCCACAGCTGGAATAAAGATGCTGTACGTGTTTGTCGATATCAAAATCGACAGTGCGCATTTCGTCGACACAGTTCGATTCAACTTTCCCAAGGGGTCAGCGCTTGCTCTGGTCAGCACCATCCAGTTTGTGACTGCGCTGCAGGTAAGGAGACAGTGCTGTAACCCCAGTGCTCTTATACTAATCCCTGCCCCAACGCCATCTTTATCCAAATATAACCTTATGACAATGCCATCCTAACATTGTTGTTATCCCACTCTAACATCATTATCCCACAGTAACCTCAATTGTAGCTACGACTTTATTACTTCACATTGATTCCTGGGTATTTGATAATAGCCTAGCATTGCCCGGTCATTGACCCTAAGTAAACCAACATTATGCCATAAGGGGGAGGTGATGGCCTTGTGGTATTACCGCTGGACTGTTAATCCAGAAATCCAGATAACATTCTGGGGACCTGTGTTCGCATCCTGTCACGAAGGATGGTGGAATTTGAGTTTAATAAATATCTGGGATTAAGAGTCTGATGATGACCGTGAATCCATTGTCGATTGTTGGAAAAACCCGTCTGGTTCACTAATGTCCTTCAGGGAAGGAAACTGCCATCCTTACTTGGTCTGGCCTACACATGACTCCAGACCCACAGCAATGCGGTTGACTCTTAACTACCCTCTGGGCAATTAGGGATGGGCAATAAATGCTGCCTAGCCAGTAACATCCTCACCCCGCGAATGAATAAAGAAACAAAAATGCCACTGTAACCCAGGCACGATCCTAACCCCACACCCAGGACACATGAGAGCACTAAATATGGGCACTAAGTGTTAAAGCAGGAGAGCAGCCCCCTGTACCACCACCACCACCATTACCCACCCCCCAGCCACAGTCAGTGACACTTATACAGCATCTCTGGCACCAGCAAAGCCCCCCTAGAGCTTTCACTGAGAAACAGTCCAGCACTGACACCTCAGCCTCAGCTAGAACAAAAAGTCCCTCCAGCTGTAAAAAAAAATCAAGTGTCAACATCAATGAGAGAAAGAATTTGTTCTATTTATTGGATAGGAATCTGACAGCACCTTGTACATGCCGCAGGGGAATATGGCTGAAGATGAATTGATTGAAAATGCTGAATCCTGGGGTTTCCTCACAGGATTCCAACTCTCATCCGTTTAAAAAAGTTTTGTGCATCTGAATTCTCAATCAGGTCTTTTGATAATTGACGGACAGAGTGAATGATTTGCCAGAGCACTTCTGATGGCTCCCCAACTCCAGCTTGCTGTGCTCCTGTTATATTCAGCCCCTGAAGGTCTCCTGTGCCCTGAGCCATCCAGTTCAGGTGAATGTCCCTGATTACTGCCCACAGTCAGTAAATTCATTGTGTTGTTGGGTTGCATTACCTTCAATGACTCTCAAATACTGCTAACCGCAAAACACTCACTTTTAGCAGTGATCCAAAGAAGAGTCATATCAGACTCGAAACGTTAACTCTGTTTCTCTCCCTGCAGATGCTACTCAACATGCTGAGTTTCTCCAGCATTTTCTGTTTGTATTGCTTGATTTTATTTTGGCAAAGGGCATTAATAGTCACAAAACCAGGACGAGTGGATAGAGTTAGGATTAAATGGTTGAATTGGTTACATATACCCAAATCTGCGGAGGCAATGAGCTAGTGGTATTATCACTGGACTGTTAATCCAAAGGCCTGGATTTGAATCCTGCCACGGCAGATGATGGAATTTGAATTCAATAAAAATCTGGAATTAAGAGTCTAATATTGACGATGAATCCAATGTCGATTGTCAGGAAAAACGCATCTGGTTCATGAATGTCCTTTAAGGAAGAAAACTGCCATCCTTACCTGCCCTCTGGGGGATGGACAATAACTGCTGGCCAAACCAGCAATGCCCTCATCCTGTGAATGAATTTAAAAAAACACTTGCCTCTGTTAACTTCCCTCCTGCCACACTCCAGTGCCAGCAATTCTGCCTTCCAATGTCTCAGGCCCACACTTTGAAATTTCCACCCGAATTCCTTCCAACTTTCCACCTCCAGCTCCTCCGCTTCCTTTAATGCTTGGTTAAAATCCAGCTCTTTAATCAAGATTTCGTTCCCTTGCCCCATCCCCTCCCTGGCTTTATCTGAGAAGGATGTTTCTGTCTATCTAAGATTCACTGAAGGGCCTCAGGCGTTTTGCGATGCTGAAGGAATTCTTTATAGGCAGGATATTCCTCTCGCCAATTGTTACACAATGTGTTTTGGAAGTTTAAAGATCTCCTGATACTGGACCAGCTGTTTACAGACAATGAGTAGAATTTTCCTAATCCCTGGGCAGTAGTGAGAAAGTTGGGAAAACCGGTTGAAGTGGCAAGGAGCTTTCCGACATCGGTAACAAAATGCCCCATTCTCCAGCCGAGGGTTGAGCAGCTAGATGGAATTTTGGCCATTGATTGGCGAGAGGTCCATTAACACGAGTCAACATCCTCGTTATTATGTCATTGGCCTTATTGGTGTGTAGTTTCCCATTCTGCCACCTTGTGGATAGAAGCCAGACAGCTACAGTTCCCAACACGAGAGGCAGAGTGGCCACCTGGCAACTCCAGCCCATCGTGTGCTCCTCTGGCCCTCCGTCGTCACCAGCATTTCAGGACAGGTTCCACGCAGTCAGTAAAAGAAGGCAGCTCACCGCCAGCTTCTCGAGGCAATTAGGGATGGGCCTGGCACTCTCAAATAGGCAATATGTTTCAACCAATTGACATATCCAGTACTGTTCTCTCTCACTTGTTTATCTAGCTTTTTCTTAACCACAGTTTAGCTAATAATCCTGCAAGTTCTGCATTTTCATGATTCTCTGGGTAAATAAGCTTCTCCTGAATTCTCCCTTTGATTTATTAATGTCTGATATATACTGAAGGCCTCTAATTTTGGTCCTCCCCCATGACTGGAAATATCTTCTTTACATCAGCCCTGTCAGCCCTCACTGTACTTTATGAAGATCTCTATCAGGTTCCATCTTGATCTTTTTCAGTCGCACAGAATGGAGCTCTGCCCTGTTCAGCTTCTTTGTCAGTTGTTGCTTTCTTCTCTCTCCTGTTCCTCCTATTTATTCCCAATCGCTTTTCAACAGTGTTTCCATCAGACAAAATACAGCATTTACAGTCTGGAATGCATTGCAGGCCAGTTGATAAATCCAGGCTTAAATTTGTTTTCGGAATTGTTAGCAACCGAGGCACCTGCCTTTTATGATAAAGCAGTGACAGTGTGGCAGTGCTGTGTGCAATATAGGTGATCAATTCTCATTCCCTTAGCTCCTGAACTCTTGGGTAAACTTGCTGTGGCAATGTGACAGGGAGATGGCAGCTATGTTATTTGATGCAGCTTTTTTTTTACCTGAATCCAACACTTCACAGAACGACGTCCTGATAGATTGCCTTGACTGCTTTCAGCTGACCTTATTGAATGGAAAGTGGAAGAGATGAATGAATATTTCTCGAAGCTCTTCTGGTGATTTGGGACATTTATCAGCTTCCTGACTCCAAACTTGATGAAGTCCATTATCCCTGCACATCATTTGATAGGTGATAATTTGGATGTTATTCCCTGATGAAAGGTAGGGCCCGGAATTATCAGAGTGACTGATTGCTGTCAGCGCAGAGGTTTAGAGAGAGGTTGATGGGTGCAGGTTCATTTCTGAATCCATCTTCCCCACAAACCACGCTTCTCTCAATGTGGTGACCCCTGTGTCAGCTGGCAGGACCGAGGGAGAGGAAACAGCTCTCCATTCCTCCAGGTACAGTGGGCACGGAGCCCTTTGCAGAGAGATACAGGGAGACTGTTGACCAAAACAGTCAACACCATACTGTGGATGCTGGTAATCTGAAAGAGACAAATCTCGAATGGTCACGCAGCACCGGTGGAGAAAGAGGAACGAGGTAAACATTTCAAATCGGTGGCCTATCACCCCCACACCCAGCACAGACACCCCCACACCCAGCACAGACACCCCCACACCCAAAACAAACAACCCCTCACCCAGCACAGACACCGCCACACCCAGCAGAGACACCCCCACACCCAGCAGAGACACCCCCACACCCAGCAGAGACACCCCCACACCCAGCAGAGACACCCCC